TTTTGATCTCGTAGCGAAAACGGGCTTCAATAGATTCCAGATCTACAAACTGTGTACATTCTCTCAACAACTTTGAACTTTCACAGGTATGCTGGATACTTGTTGGCTCTTTTTCTTCACCATTCAATCAAACATAATTTTTTTCACAATTTTCATAATCACAATGCCCATCTGACTACATTAATTTCACAACACAATTCTAGTCAGGTCTGCGGTACTGTGTCTTTAAGTGATTTCACGATACGGCTGCGCGCGCCTGCTCCCGTATGTGGACACTCCAAAAAATGTGTTAAGAATTACAAAAGCTGGATCAGTAACACTGGAAGATAAACGCAACAACTGTTCATCAGTCGCAAGGTGAGCCTCATCCCGTTCTCTGTCGCTTGCATGCTGCGGGCTGTTAGTTCTCTGATGTTTTTCGCTAGAGAGACACAATACAAAGAGGGTTTTGCAAAATGAACCGGCGAGAAGTAAAGAGGCCCCTTGAGCGTCTCAGCGCTTACATCTCAAGGCGAACTTTAGCGTTCCTCCTTCCCTTTCTTTGCTACATTTTAAGGGGCTGGTTTATTAAATGTCACATTTAAACGCACGACTTCCGAGCTCCCCCCTAACATACCATCTTTCGACACTAAACGAGTGTAAACACGGCTGGAGACACCGTGGCCGGCAGGCGGAAGACGCTGGTTCCACTACGGTGTCTCTTAGCTCCGCTCCCCGGTTTAGAGTGCAGGCAGAGCCGCGAGCTGCGTGCAGGGACAGCCCGGTGCGCCGGTGACACGGAGCTCTGACGGCGGGTCGCAATAGCACAAAAACACTACAAGTTTCTCGCAGTGAAGTGCAAAGGAGATACAATGTCTTCGTTCGGCGGGAGTTTCATTGTGGCATCACAGCTGAGGGAGTTATTTTGTCATAACTTACGGGAGTTTATTGTCTGAGGAGATGAAGCGGCGAAGGGGCCTCGGCTTCGGCACCGCATGTAGCCTATATGCACCCTTAAAATTAGCAATAGGAATCAATATGAATATAGCCATTCTGATTCCTCTTTAACGATTCTGATTCGTTAACAGTTCCATTAATCGATTCTTTTAGTACTTTGGACGGATAAGTAATTTAAATGAATAATTATTGTTCATATTTATTCTCCTCAGATGATTATATCTTTCAGCAAACGTAACAAAGCACAAATAAATGTTTACACGGATTTCTGTGGTGTAAATCATTCCAATAATTGATTCTAACTATATAGTTAAAGATGACTACATATTAAAATACATGTATATCATTTAATTTCATGTCATTTATATAAAACGCCACTGATTCAAAGCTCATATTTTTTGTCATATAGACAAAGTAGACAGTAACTACATTAAACCTTAACGATAACATAACACACGGGCAGTTCTTGGCTAATTAAAAGTAAAGTAAGTAATAATTTACAGTTCAGTGAGTCAGATTCATTCAGTAAAGGCTCTGAATCACAAGTGATTCACTAAAAGAATCGGTCCATAAGAATCATTCGTTCGAAGCTCGTACCACTGCGGACTACACTGGTCGTGTTGTTTGTCTTTGATTCACTAAAAAGAACCGGCTCATTTTGGGTTTCGGTGTACCACATCCTTTTTTTATGTTTGTACATTTATAAATATATTTAAAAGCAGACACGATGTCATGAAGAGAGATTAAACTTTGATTTTTATTGTTTTTGTGTTGTATTTTCTCTGCAGCATTTCTGAATGAATCCTGCTTTACAAACTTTGCTTTTTGAGAAATTCTTATTTGAGACTTCGAAAAGTAATCGCAATTAAAAACCGAAGGTTTATGAAAAGATGACAATATCATTGGTGAGTTTACTTGTTAAATAGTTTCCAGGTTTAAATATTTACCCCATCCATAAGAAAATCGTTTGTTTGTTTGTTTTTCTGCAAAAAAATTCTACAAGTTAAACACAAATGTGCAAATTGCGTCTTTAAGTACTAAACTGTATGAAGGACTGTAGAGTGTAAAGGCCAAGAGAATGAAAACGCTTTTGTTTGCATGAGTGCATATTCATTTGTTATTCATCCACAATGGTTCAACATTATCATTCAGACCCTTGACCTCTGAGAGGACGATCTGAGTCCCCTTTCAATAACGTTAAAATAGTCCCTGAGGTTTCTAAATGAGGAAAATCTCCTCAGCGCAACAGCGAATGACTAAGATGGGTCTCATTTGTGAAACACAAGCAGAATTAATTTCCATTAAAATTCTTCTTGTATAAATTGTTCCATTTAATTCAAAGTAACAGTCTACACAAGAACAGTTTGATGAACAATTTATCAAGAAATTTGTTCTGCTTGTTTCATAAATGGCAACCTTTAAGTTTACATATGTATATAGAATGTGTATGAAAAATTGCCATTTACTCGGTATTACAATTTTACAGATAAACGGCAGTAGCAGTTATCATAACCCTTGCGCTTTTTTTAAATCTTCGAAATATGAACTTGCCCTCAACAAGCATGTTTTGTTTTTTTCACAATGTTCCCTTTTTTTTATGTACTTAGTTGAGAATTCTTTATATTTGAGTCATAACCAGGATATTTTTGTACCACTGGACGACATTCAAAGATTTATATCAGACTGCAAATTAAAAGGAGGAAACTCTCTCTCTCAATGTCTCAAAATTCAGTCATCTTTCTCTTTTTGCACATATTTGCATACTTATCAAATTGCATTTGTCAAGTCACACTGCTCTCTCTCTCTCTCATCCCTCTCTCGACACCTGTTTCTTAGTTCCTGTTTCTGTTGCTTATTATATGTAGGTGTTTCCTATGTGAAAAGAATGTTATTTATTTTTAGTTTATAGAAGAGAAAAAAGTAAAGACTCATGCTGACCATGCTGGGCATTGCCAGTTTTCATAAATATTTTGCAAAAAAAAAAAAAAGGTTTTTGGTCCCCTGCTCTGCACAGAGAAATGAAACGCAAACTGTATCTGAAGATGTATAATAAAAATTGACTTTGAGACACATGGCTGTATGGCTCTTATACTGTGTGTGCGAGCATGCATGAATGTGTGAATTTCTAATCAGTATCTTACAAAGCTTCCTCTGTGTTGTATCTTTATTGAAAGTAGCTTCCTTTCTCACAGATGTCTAAATGGAAGCTAATGCCAGTCTGTTTCCTTGCGTCACATGTAACTGACTGACAAATATTCAAAATATTATTTTATTTTTTATAGTTCTGTCCTTATGAATGTTCATGTTTGTAATTAAACACTCATCAGGACACAAAAAAAGAATGGCCTGTCGATTTTTCATCACGAAAGAAGATTAGAGGATTTCTTTAAGCTGTAATGTGATACATAAATTATTTCATTATTTGTCATTGAACATTTTATTACATTGTTGTGTCCAAATAGTGACTAATTAAACTGTGTTGGTTGAAGTTGTTGATGCATGATATATCAGACCAGTACAACAAGCAGGATTTTTGTTTCAATTGAAACTGCTTTCTATTATCCAGTTAAGTTTTTAAAAAGTTTGCATGTTTCTATTGTACATTTTGATGTTTTGATTTGACTTAAAGCATGTAAAATTATAGATTTGTTGCTTCAAACCTGTAACACTAAATTCCCAGTGAACACATCCACAGTATTGTTTTAGATGTGTGTCAGCCAAATGTATGAATGTATATAATTTGTGTTTATAATATCAGCAATCAGACTGGTTATTGGTCTTTGCAGCTCACAGATGCAGAGACTGACTGTGTGTATGGATGTGTAAATCTGTTTCTTTTGTTTACTCCAGGTCTTTGTCCACCTCTATAGATCCAGGGTTGTTATTAAGTCCATATATCGCCCTGGACACAGAGGAGAGGAGTCTGAAATTCCAAACCAGGCGCCTTCATATTCAAAAGCAGCTAGAGGTACATAAAAAAACTGTATTAAAAACTCATGCATTTACTTGCACACTTATGTAACACAGATTTGATCCACCTAGTACATGTGAGCGAATATATAGCCTACCTGATGGTTGAGTTTTTTCATTGTGTGCCAAAAAGTGTGTGTGTGTGTTGTAGGAAAGCACAACAGTTAAACGAAGGCTGCAGTTTGTGGTCAAAGTGACCAGGTAAATACACTTGCACAGATAATACAGGATAAAATACATTCTGCTCACTTCACTTGATATAAAACGACGGCTCAGTTTATAGAGATTAATATAAAACGTAATTAGATGCTTTATGGTTATTAAGCATTAAGTGAAACTTGTCCGTGATGTTTTGTTTTATTACAGGTAAACCGAAGCCGCTGGAAAATATGAGGTTCACGTCACGTGTTCAGGAGAATACATGTATAGTACAGTATAATTAATATTTAAGAATATGTAGTTTTATATTTTGTTTTTACTTGTCTCTGTTTCAGTTACTAATTTTATAAAGCGTTCTTTATTCCCGTGATTTAAATTGTTTATTGTAGTCAAATTGACACCGGTTCCTTCAATAAAGTTTCTATTCGTTTCAAATCACTGGGCCATTGTGGTATTTGTAGTTTGTGTGGGGTGCAGTAGGTAAATACACTTGCACAGATAATACAGGATAAAATACATTCTGCTCACTTCACTTGATATAAAACGACGGCTCAGTTTATAGAGATTAATATAAAACGTAATTAGATGCTTTATGGTTATTAAGCATTAAGTGAAACTTGTCCGTGATGTTTTGTTTTATTACAGGTAAACCGAAGCCGCTGGAAAATATGAGGTTCACGTCACGTGTTCAGGAGAATACATGTATAGTACAGTATAATTAATATTTAAGAATATGTAGTTTTATATTTTGTTTTTACTTGTCTCTGTTTCAGTTACTAATTTTATAAAGCGTTCTTTATTCCCGTGATTTAAATTGTTTATTGTAGTCAAATTGATAGAATAAAGTTTCTATTCGTTTCAAATCACTGGGCCATTGTGGTATTTGTAGTTTGTGTGGGGTGCAGTGCTACGGTTTTAAGCACTGTCTAGAACACCATTACCCACAATCCTGCACTCTTCTTTCGCTCAGTGGGCGGAGCTCAAACGAAAACATGGCAGCGGGCGTATTAACTGGAGGTGAAATAAAACGTGTTTTTATTTAACGTTAATGCGCTTAAAGTAGATTTTATTATGTAAACCATATTATAGTAACAATTAACAACATTATAATATAACGTCTTGCTTGTGCTTTGTACTGACATAAAACATTACGTGACCATCGAGTTTTTTTATAGTGACTTTCTGAGCAGTTTTGCAACAGACTTTGGATAAAAATATATGTATCGTTTAATGAATGAATTTAACATGATCGGTTTCAGTAAGGCAGGTTCTCCGGGGCCCTCGGTTGGTCTGTGCTGTGTTCTCATGTCACGGACAGACATTCAGCTCCGCTGCAGCTGCAGTCAAATCACCGGCAGCAGCGACAGACTCCGGTGAGACTGTCAGAGATGAAGAGATTATTACACATGCGTACAGAGTATATCAAACCCAGCGGCCTAGAGATATAGCTTATGTCAGCTTATAGTATAGAAAAGGAGTTCTAACTTGGGGGCCACAGGGGAGTGTCAGGGGTCCCTGTGAAATGTTTAGAGAAAAAATATATATTTAACATGTCAACATACTCCAAATACACAAAATAATGATCTTTAAAAAAGCATCATATGACCCCTTAAAACAATTTATCAAAATAAATGTAAATATTGTTTAAAAATGAACTAGTAATTAATACATAAAACAGTGCAGTACTATAGTGAATAAAAACTTTATTTTGGAAATATCCACTTGTTGTTTAATTGTGTTCACATAAATTAATACAGATGTTTCATAAAGAATCAGCTTGCTCACAGAATTATTCCTCTTAATTTGGAATGTAGACTTTAATGTAAATATGTGCTTTGATCAGTGTTGGGGGTAACGCATTACAAGTAACGCAAGTTACGTAATCAGATTACTTTTTTCAAGTAACTAGTAAAGTAACGCATTACTTTAATTTGGAAAAAAATATCTGAGTTACTTTTTCAAATAAGTAACGCTAGTTACTTTGTTTCCCATGTCTTGACTGACAGCTCTCGTGTTGCCATGTAAGAGAGAAATCGGGAGCAAGTGCAGAGGCATTGTGTGCACTGTGATGTTACTGTAGTTCTAGACTAAATATGAACATTATTTACTCTTCTCACTGCACAAAAACAGATTCAGTATTCCTCAAAATGAATAAAAACAATCAAATGCAAACTCAGAATATTATATAAACCTGCAATAATTAAATATGTTAAATAAGACAAATATAATTTATGTATTTAATCCCATTTTATTAACCAATGTCTTTGGTACTGACCTTCGATGATCTAATTCAACCATACTAATAAGCAAAAATTACACATTTTTGTTATTGCTGAATAGTGTTGAACTTTCTTCTCCTGCATCATATTCTTCATGCAATTTGTGTGAGCTGCGCCCTCTACTGTACAGATGTGAATTTGCATTTCCTTCAGCCTGAGGCGTGTACTCATTTCATTTCTGTTGTGAAAAGGGCTTTTTTATATAAACCTGCAATAATTAAATATGTTAAATAAGACAAATATAATTTATGTATTTAATCCCATTTTATTAACCAATGTCTTTGGTACTGACCTTCGATGATCTAATTCAACCATACTAATAAGCAAAAATTACACATTTTTGTTATTGCTGAATAGTGTTGAACTTTCTTCTCCTGCATCATATTCTTCATGCAATTTGTGTGAGCTGCGCCCCCTCTACTGTACAGACGTGAATTTGCATTTCCTTCAGCCTGAGGCGTGTACTCATTTCATTTCTGTTGTGAAAAGTGCTTTTACATTTGTAAAATAACTTTTTTATATTAAAAACAAACAAGCAAGCCCTGCCCAGATTTAAAAAGTAACTCAAAAGTAACGTAACACATTACTTTCCATAAAAAGTAACTAAGTACCGTAATTAGTTACTTTTTTAGGGAGTAACGCAATATTGTAATGCATTACTTTTAAAAGTAACTTTCCCCAACCCTGGTTTTGATGCATGTGTTTTTTCTGTGAAGCACTGAAGATGATGTTAAAAGCACTACATAAAAAAACTTGACTCTCATAAAGAGGTTGTAACATATAATATTCATTCAAAGCTCATAATTATTTCTGTATGTTTGTGTTATATGTTCAGCTGCTACAGAGAAGATCCTGAACTTCCCACTCACTCAACCAGACTATTTCCGCTTGTCTGAGCTCTTCACCATGAAGGACCTGTTTGAAGCCTGTGTCCATCTTGGACATAAGAAAGACTGCCGGCATAGGTGGGTTATTGACATTAAAGGGATAGTTCACCCCCAAATTAAAATGTTGCCATCATTCACTTACTCTCATGTATTTCCAAACTCATGAGACTTTTGCTCATCTTTGAAAAACAAGGAAATATATTTTTTTAAAGAGATCAATCCAAAAAGGTTATAAAGGCATTCTAAAACAAATCAAGTGGATGTAAATAAAAGGCAAATAGTTTTGTTTATCATATAAAGCAATCTCTTCACAAGACTTGGGTTCACTTTATGACACCTTTATAACCTTGTTGGATCATTTAAGTTTTGTTTACCTGGACTTTCAAAAGAGGACAGAAATCTCTCAGGTTTCATTTAAAAAAAAATAATTTTCAAATTAATTTGTGTTTCAAAGATTAACCAAAGTCTTATGGGTTTGGAACAACATGAGGGGGAGTAAATGATAACAGAATTTTTATTTTTAGGTGAGCTATTAAATATTCAGTGTGACATGTTGTTTCTTATAATCATTATTGTATTAATTATATTAATATATAACTCTTATAATGAATAATACATTCAGTTTTTATATAATTTATATCATTTTTTTATTTTAAATTATTTTTAACTGTGTGTATAATTGAGAAACTACATGGAATCTATGCAATTATACAATTTTTTTATTTTTTATATTTGTATTATATACATACATACACACCTACACATACATGAATCTATGCATTTATAAATACGCTCACACACGCTACTGGAAGGGTGGCCTGCTCACCAACGCCTCCATTCAGTACAGCCCCGGCGTCCGGCTGCCGGACCTCATCGTTTTCTTCTCCACACTCAATAACGTCTTCCAGCAGCACGTCGGCATCCGGGACGCGGCCAAAATGAATATTCCCACGGTGGGGATTGTGGACTCTAACTGTAACCCCAGTCTCATCACATACCCAGTGCCCGGCAACGATGACACTCCTGTTGCCATGGAGATGTACTGCCGGCTATTTAAAATGACCATTAACAGAGCAAAGGACAAGAGGAGGCAGATGGAGCTTCTCAAGGGGATTTCAGCCTCAGTATGAAGCAGGTCAACGAGCTTCAACATCTCTATCAGAGTTTGTGTGGATGTTGTCCTCGCATAGAAAGTTCAGTAGAAATATGAGTCCAAAAAGTAAAATTCTGTCATATTAATGTATTATTTTGATTAAAGTTCAGTACCTAAAAATGTAAAACATGTGACCATCCTAGAACTATGGAAGCCAATTTCCACCACAGAATAAAAAAGGTAATTGCAACTTTTTCTCACAATTTCGTTGTTTCTTTTGCTTCTCTCAGAATTGCAAGATTCGGAATTTCAAGAAAAAAGTTTAAATTCTTAGCTTATATCCTGCATTACAATTTTTTTCTCAGATTTCTGAGTTTCAATCTCATAATTCATTGATTTTTTGAATAAAAACGGTAAATGCTACTTTTTATCTCACAATTCTATGGTGGCCCAGTAGTGCACAACACAATGCAATTCAAAAAGCAAACATAAGCTCACAACACAACGACATTAAGCCACAACACAATCCCATTAAGCTCACAACACAACGACATTAAGCTCACAACACAACGACATTAAACAACAACACAAGGACATTAAGCTCACAACTGTTTAACTGTCAACACTGCCCCCTAGTGATCGGGAGCATTTCCGTTGTGCTGTGGCTTAATGTCGTTGTGTTGTGGGCTTAATGTCGTTATGTTGTGAGTTTATGTTTGCTTTTTGAATTGCTTTGTGTTGTGAGTTTATGTTTGCTTTTTGAATTGCGTTGTGTTTTGAGCTTATGTTTGCTTTTTTAATTGCGTTGTGTTGTGCACTACTGGGCCACCATGCAATTCAGACTTTTATTCTCAGAATTACGTTTATATCTTGCAATTCCAATTTTTTTTTCAGTTCTGAGAATATTTTCTCAGAATGGCAAGATATAAACTCAGAATTGTGGAAAAAGTCAAAATTGTGAGAAAAAAAGTCGGAATTGTGAGATATTTTTATAGTTTTAATTTTTTTTATTCTCTGGCAGTGACAGGCTCCCATGCAGAACTAAAGATTTGCTTAATTTGAAAATGTAAAATCCAATGACTTCAAACTGAATATTTATTTATTTATTATTGTTTTATTAATTGCCATTGATTTATTGGGTTATGTGAACCCAATAAAGTTTCACAAATCCAAATGTGATGTTTATTGTATGTACTTATGTGCATAAATATCAGTTTTCAAATAACTTTAAGAAGAGGTTTGACTTTTAGGATTAATTTTAACCATCTGGTTATCTAATGCAAGTTTTAATGTGGCACCACTAGCAAGAGTCAACTGCATGTCAGTAATTTAAAATATGTTTTATATATGTATATAATGATTGTACTTGTGTTGCTTTATCAGCAAAAGAAACAGCGTGATAACGTACTTTTGCTATGATATACTTTCAGTAGGCTAGCTATGGAGAATATTTGCTGGACGTAAACAACGTATGAAATCAAATCACAACAACGTAGGAAACAGATCCGGCGTGACGCAGCTGACACAGAACAGCATACGCTGTTTACGTCGTCGTCAGCGGATATTCTCCAAAATGGCACCAGGGTGATGCGGAGGAGACGAATTGTTGAATAAAGTTTTTTGTTTTGTTTTTTTTGCACACAAAAAGTATTCTCGTAGCTTCGTATAATTGCGGATGAATCACTGATGTCACATGGATTATTTTACAGATCTCCTTGCTACGTTTCTGGGTCTGGGAACATTTCAGTTGCCTTGCTGTCTATTCAGCAACAGGAGATTCCATCAGAAATATCTGAATTTGTGTTCCGAAGATGAACGAAGGTCTTACGGGTTTGAAACGACATGAGGGTAATTAATTAATGACATAATTTTAATTTTTGGGTGAACTAACCCTTTAACCTCTAACACACGCAGTGTACCACCGGCGACACACTGGAAGGCTAACAGGTTAAAAACGTTCTGAAACCACCCACGTGTTGCGTGCAACCAGCCTGTCATTAACGCCAAAACGTTGCTGTGCAGTGCAAACAACCTGAAATATGCACTTCAAATACTAACAATCTAACAGAGTTGTCATGCTTTACTGCTGGGGCTTATTTTTATTGTTGGACATAGCGGTCCTGCCTTTTGAGTTGACGCAGTAGCGTGCTTGTGTCGGTAGGAGGCGCAATATGTTTGACACTCACTGCTGTTAATCACTGGAAAGAGCTGGAAACACTGAACCCACACCAGTGAGGGGTCTAATTTACAGAAAAAAAGAAGAAAGAGATATATAATTATGCTTTAAATCTACTACAGACCCTGAAAGAAGAACTTTTTCTTTCTGTTTGGAAACCACCATGATATTCTACCATCAGGTAAGGATTTAAATTGTCAACAATATTTTAAGCATATATGGTGGGTCTCTGCTGAAGGACTAATTTTGTTACACCTTAAAATAAGTTGAATGATAAGTTGAATTTAGTACTTGTGCCAAAATGAAATCTTAAAAACATTTAAAGGTGATAAGAGAAGTTAAAAAAGCTTATGCAAAGTAAATAATGTTATCTGTATGTAAAAAAAATCTTTATTAAAATTGTACATAATTTTTCACATTTTAATTGACATTTTAAATTAAATTGTTGGGGTCAATACAGTCCGTTAAAAATACTTTTATTCAGTAAGGATGCATTAAATTGATGAAAAGTGATTTCTGAAGGATCACGTGACACTGAAGACTGGAGTAATGATTCAGAAAATTCTGCTTTGCGTCAAAGTAATAAATTACGTTTTAAAATATATTCACATAGAAAATAGTTATTTTAAATTATTTTTATTTTACAATTTTTATTTCACAATATTACTGTTTTTCCTGTATTTTTTATTTTTTTTTAAATGCAGCATTGGTGAGCATACTGACCCCAAACTTAGCTATATATATATAAAAAAAAAATTTAAGTATGCTAAAATTATTCTACATAATCTCTCAATATCATAAAAGTGCATAATAATTATACACAAATCAGAAAAATGTGAAATGTCAAGCTACCCATCATGTGTGCAGTGAAGTCTTGTGTAAAGGTGTGTGTAGTTGGGTGTTCTCTGGGTTTTGCACCATGAGACGTAACTCTGGCAGTGATGCCACTGTTGTGCTAAAAGTGGGCAGAAAGAAACTGGCTTGCGATCGACCCTGCTGTCCTGTATGGTGGACCGGGGGCTTGGAACGAGGCCGGATAACCCAACCCAGACCTCTGTGTGTTAGTGCCCATGTCAGCCTGTGAAACCCTTTCTAAATGCTCCATTATTCTCCATCAATGTTTCTTTGTATTTGGGTGTTGTAGATTGTAACGTGTTTTTGTAACTATGTGACACAAGAAATAGATGAAATGAAGCTGCACTTCACATGGGTTGTGACCTAGAGTCTTGAACAGAGGTCAAAGGTCGACTCTACAGCAAGCTGAAATAGTAAGTAAAACACACACACACTGGTTGCTCCTCGAGGCGTTGCAGCACAGCTGAATTTGCCGTTTCTGTGTCATGAGGAAGCAAAGAGCAACAGGGCACTAGAAACTACACTTTGTACCCATAATTCCACAGTGCAAAGATTGAATGACAGGACAGACCCTACAAACCAGCATGAGACCCTGTTTCAAGCAGGGATGTGAATCCTGTAAGATTGGTCCTTAACCTCATCTTAAAGACCCTACAAACAGAGAAAGTTGAAATAATAGACCAATTTTTTCCCATTTCCATACAACTGTACATGGCTGTTATCTGCACTATTTATATTTATAGTAATATTTCAAGATGAACACTTACTGGACTGAAGCAGCATAGGTTTACTTGATTACCCATACATCAGTTATCATTTTATTTGATAAAATGTATCAAATAAGATCAGCAGGTTTTTTAGGAATGTTTATTTGTTCATCTCTCAATCATCATTGGATTGCATCGCATATATTTTGATCATAAAACAAAGCATAAATGTGACCCTGGACCACAAAACCAGTCTCAAGTTGCACAGGTATATTTGTAGCAATAGCCAAAGATACATTGTATGGGTCAAAATGATCAATTTTTCTTTTTCTTTTGCCAAACTCCATGAGTATATTAAGTAAAGATCATGTTCCATGAAGATATTTAGTAAATTTCCTACCGTAAATATATTAAAGCTTAATTTTTGATTAGTAATATGCATTGCTAAGAACTTCATCTGGATCACTTTAAAGGCGATTTTCTCAATATTTAGATTTTTTTGCACCCTCGGATTCCAGATTTTCAAATAGTTGTATCTCTGCCAAATATTGTTCTATCCTAACAAACCATACATCAATGGAAAGCTTATTTATTCAGCTTTCAGATGATCTATACATCTCGATTTTGAAAAATTGACCCTTATGACTGGTTTTGTGGTCCAGAGTCACAAATATCATCCATCTTACACAGACTTATTATAGGGAGATATGAACACTGATATTTATATGCATTTAATGTAAGTAGTCTGTTATGAAGAACTAATTGGTTTTCAAGCAATCAGAATTTCATCTACTTTTGGCCACATACATATTAGCAACAGCACCAAATCGCATCATTTTACTTAGTTTGGGTCTGAATACAGTTGTTTTTAATTAGTATGAACTCTATATTCTCACTATGTCATACTATGTGCATTAAACACTTGGACTATCAAGTGTGATTCTCAATATAATTAATTTATAATTTATGCATTTAGCAGAGGCTTTTATCCAAAGCGACTTACAGTGCATTCAGGCTATACATTTTCACCAGTATGTGTGTTCCCTGGGAATTGAACCCACGACCTTTTGCGCTGCTAACGCAATGCTCTACCACTGAGCCACTAGGAACAAAATTAATATAAATGCACATATGCAACAATTTTTTATTTTATTTTATCTAAAGGTATAAACAACAGTTCCATTAAAACAAAATAAAATTGGCCTAATATTTCATGTCACAGGGATAAATGGGGTCAAAAATAAATTATTTCACAGATTTCCCCTAAAATCTGTGCAGAAAAAAGTGCAGATCTCTCCTGCCCATGAAACCACATGCTTTGTGTTAAGTGCATTGTGATTATTTTTACTTTCTCAAAAATGGAGCATCGCTTTAATCTTTATTTTGCTTTAATTTCAGGAACGTGACGAACCACATGGAACAAGTCAGCTGACTGCAACATTTACACCTGTTGTGTGTTATATACCTGTGTCTGCAGTTGTCAATCTCCACCTGCTTTTTGGAACAGCTGAACAAGATCATAACCCACATTAGTGCATGACACTTTATTCTTTAACGAGCCACGAACATTACAATTGTTTCAAATCAATAATCCATTTATTTTGAAGGCCATGTCAACTAGTCATTATCACAAAATAAACCCTCCGAGTTTTGTTGCTATGTTTTTTGTTGTTGTTTTTATATAATTTATAAAGTAAGCTTTACTTACAATGCAGTGTTTAATTATAGCAGATTTTATTAAACTAACAAATTGACAAATGTAATTATCCTTGTTTAAATCAATACATAAATAACAGGTTGTTTCAGGTTTGTCCAGCATGTGAATTTACATGTTTTGTTCCTGTTGGTATCGTGTCCTTTTAAAGGTGAGGTGGTTTTGGGAGGCCTCCCTGGACTAATATATACTGATTCCTTGTTTCTTTCGAAAGGTCGAGTAAAAGGATACGTGCTGTTGTGTTTGTCCTTCGAACAAGTGCTGTACTTTGTGTACCTGTGCCTCACCAAAAAAAAAGAAGAAAAAACAACCCATACACACAATTTAAGTTTCAAACATTTACTCAATGAATAATATCTGAACAAATTGATGGAGGTCAAATAAATTAGTATTTAGGAGCCTTAACAAGTCCCCATGCTAATTGTGCTGCTCTCCTAAGAGGCGCAAAATAAAATAATAAACATGATTTTATTGTACATAAAATCACTTCATTCATAACAATGTGAAACTGTACTAAAGCCTAGTGCACACTAGAAGACAAAAGCTTGTCCTTTGTGTCTCATGTCTGCAAAATCAACTCAAAATCACATACATGTACATGGATCTGTGCAGAAACAAAATTTCAAGATCGAGGAGGAGAATGATCTTGAAATGTGCACTTGGAACTTTTTGTGGAATGTGCCAGTTGTTTAGTATTAATGAAATGCAACTTGAGATTTGATTTGTTAGGCTAGTGTAAGAGAAGTTTATAAAACTGCCTACTGTGAGTCAAGGAGATGTTTACATTATGCACACACACTTTCAGGTTTATATGCAGATGTGTTTTATAATCCTGCACATACACAGTCGCTGGGCCTTGATTCCTCAAACTCTGTATTTTGTTTACCGTGACACTATAATTCCACTTCATCTACACGCTTAAAAATAAAGGTGCTTCACGATGCCATAGAAGAACCTTTTTGTCTAAATGGTTCCATAAAGAACCTTTAACATCTGAAGAACCTTTCTGTTTGACAAAAGGTTCTTTGTGGCGAAATAAGGTTCTTCAGATTACAAAAAGGTAAGAAAGAGATGGTTCTTTAAAGAACCTTTGACTGAATGGTTCTTTGTGGAACCAAAAATGGTTCTTCTATGGCATCGCTTGAAGAACCTTTATTTTTAAGAGTGTAGGTTTAATGTTAATAGTAATCTTGTTCCAAGCACATTACAGACAAACCCTGAGAAACACAGTAAGTAATTTCACAGTTCAAGTACAAATCCCATCACAAACTCTCCAGACTGCTCGAAAAAGCAGTATCCTTCCTGTGAAAACTACAACATGAGAGAAACATCCTCCCAGAACAAGCGCACACACATACGAACACAACATGCACCCTGTAAAAAGACATAATATATAACCTTCACTCGTTCCTATTAAGTGAATTCAGTGTAGACGTCTTGGTTGTGTTGCAGGTTTTGGCGTAGAGTCCCAACATTTCCTGACTTCAAAGGAAGGGTGCTTCCAAACATTGCTAAAGATCCATATTCTTCTGAGCTGAACGTTAAAACGGGTGTGGCTATAGTTTACATCCTTCAAAAAGCAACTTAGAAGAGCATTCCAGGAACAATCCTGCTGTTGCAACCAAAAGTTGCGCATCTTGCTTATGGGTGTCGTGGTTGTAGAGCAAGACCATCCTCATAGAAACTTTTTCCTTGGGTTACTTCTTGGAATTGACCCTACTATCCTTGTGCTTGCAGCCCAGATCCTTAACCAAAAGTTCACCAAAAAAAGACTCATTTGGGAAGGGGTTGCACGGTTAAATAAATGTCCTTAGACATTCTAACTTCACCTTGGACCTTTCAGTCAAAGGAAAGAGATTCTTCTGAAGGTGTACCAATAGGGTTAAAGGGTCTTCAGGTGACTCATTGAAGTAAATTAGAGGGTTTGAATGTAGAGTAAGACCGTTCTCTCAGAAACTCTCCTTTCCTTGGGATAAATCTTGGAACTGACCTTATTATCATTGTGCTTGCAGCCCAGATCCTTGCCCACAAGTCCACCAAGCAGGACTCAAGATATCATTTGGAAGGGAATACATGGTCAAAGAAATGTCCTCCAGTTGGTTTTCTCCAATTAAGAACAGTCTTAACTTGACTATTTTGGCAAAAGGAAAGAGATTGTTCTGGAGGATTTTTTATTAGGGTCAAAGGGTCTTCATTTGAGTAACTAAAGTAAAAGAGAAAGGGGATGTAGAGCAAGACCATCCTCTTGGAAACTCCTTGGGTTTCTTCTACTTGGAAATGGACAAGGATCTCCTATCTTTGTGCTTGCAGCCCAGATCCTTAGTCAAAAGTTCACCAAAAAGGACCCACTTGCCAAGGGGCTGCATGGTCAAAGAAATGTCTTCCAGTTGTCTTTGTTCCCACTCGACAGTCTTCACCTTGGAACTTTTGGGCAGAAGAAAATGAGTCTTCCGTAAGTGTTTCTATAGGGTTTAATGTTCTTCAGTTGAGTTTTTGAAGTAAAACTGAGGGTGGGGATGTAGTGCATGCCTTTTCTGAACTTGCATTCACCAACCTCCTATGTTTGCAATTGATGTTTGACAAATTTGAAGTCCGTAGTGGCTGGCAGAGTTCAGCTATTCTGTTGGCCCTCCAGAACTTATTGTACTGACCCCACTTTTGTTCTCTGGAAGTCTCCAATTCTCTCGCTCTTCATTGCCTTTCTCTTGATCATCCCTATGTTGGTCTCAGGAGTACTTGGTATTTGAGATCTTCTTCCACAATAGTGTTTTGAGGTTGTTCAAAACAAGGGAATGGTGCACTTCCATCTGTGAGGCAAGTCCGCTGAGCGTCACACAGGTGCGTAGCTGTTTCTCCAGGTCCTCCCTCAGGTCTGACGGCGCTCCGAAGAGTAGGAAGTCTTGCAGGAGGGCACACACCTTGGCCAAGTTGGGCTGCACCACCTCCACGTTGCACTGCCTTGCCAATCGGTCACACGTTGCTGTGCAATCTCGCCCATAAGTGCAATCGGCATTTGCTTCACAAGTTCTCCCTCGCAGAAACCCCTTGACGGTTGCCTCCGATGCTACGCTTTGAAGGTCTGCCATTTTGAAGTCATATTTCACATTGTAGCCGACCCGTCTTGGGCTTGCGTCACATATGTATAAGCTTCCGTATACGCCATGGAACACCTCTTCAACAAACTCTAGAAGTCCAATGGTGATTCGGGCTCTGCGTGGCCATGCAGGAGCAAGCCACTGGTTAAGAGCGACACCCAGCGCCTCAGGAAACACTGGCTGCAGCCAACCGGGCACCTCCAGCCTGAAGAGGGCGCTGTATGCTACGGGTTCAGTCACATAAAGGTCTCCGCAGAAGCCCAGCAAGCGTGGAGCATGTTCTTTATCTTGCAGTGCCACCATTAAAACAAATTCATTGATCTGAAGCAAAGCCCACACGGATTTCGCCTCCGCTAACGAAACTTTGCCATCACTGTTGACATCCGCCAGAGAAATCACGCGAGCTACAAGAGTGCTAAGAGATGATTGCTCACCAACACTGTCCTGTGAATGAATGGAAGAGGGAGAAAGAGATTTTAGAACATCCAATGTTTTATTTCGTAGACTGAATATAATTTATTAGTAATCGAAATTACAAAATGTTTATATTGTTCATACATAAGCAGGGTTTGAATTGAACTTTTTCACTAACCAGCCAATTTGGCTACTACATTTTTAAGTTACCGGCCATTCATAACTTCTACTAGCCACAAAATAAATAAATAAATAAAAATTACCAAAATCAACCATCACTGATCATAATGGGTTCTATTGTATTTTGTTGCGCCGCTTGTGTCCGGTGTAGACATAGTGTGAGTTTTCAGTCATTTTTTAACTCTTCGTTATTGCTTCAATGCAAAGGAAACCAAGTTCAGTATTTGCACTAAATCTGCACAGATTTGGCTTAAATGAACTTGCCCAAGAAATTAATGAGTGAACAATTTACGAAAAAGTAACCTGCCAAATTGGCTAGTGATCTGCCAGCGTTACCCTCCACAGCTGATTTTTACCCGCATTTGGTGGGTTGGAGGGTGTTAATTTCAAACCCTGTACATAAGTAGTAATAAATAACAAATTATTAAAAAAATAACTAAAAATAAGATATGAATAGCAATTCAAATTGCCCTGTTAAATGGCTTGATGAGAGCAACTGTATTTCCTGCAATTTCCCACACTTCATTGGGGGGTAGGACACTGAAAGGCTTGTTCCTTTAAAAAAATAGCCAACAATAACCTTTATCTTACGTCACAGTCATGAACTATGATTTACTACTTTCTATTTCTAGTCAGAGGTGGGTGGTATGTATGATTTAGGAGAAGGGGATGTTTTCCTTTTAGAGAAAAAGCGATGTATTTGTGTCGGTATGAGATCATTGTCAGTATTTTTGGATTGTTTTCTTCTGAGATAAAGAGAAAAAATTATTTAATTTATTTTAGTAGTAGCTATATACACTAGCATACAGATTAGCTTCAACATGAACCTACATGGACTACAAACCACAAAACTCATTTTTATTTCATGAGATCTTTAAAGTACGGTCTTTTTTAGCATTATGCATTATACGGCCATTTACAGCACTTTGTGTGGGTTGTGTTTAAGTGTGTGTATTAGTGTTGTTCTCCCCTGTGACACTGAGAGTGAGTGTATTGTTCTGCCTGTGACCTTTTCAAGCTCCTTCAGTTAGTTATTTTTGGCTTCTCTTCCCTGTTACCCCACTTCCTTCCCTGCTCTCTCTCCATTTTCACCCTCCTACAGGGGACCTTGAGGAACAGCCGAAAGCTCAGAGAGGGTTAGACTGTCTTATATCTGTTTCTGCTTTGCTAAGCAGGACATAAACATCTCCAACCAGTCACAACTAGGGCTGGATGATATATTGAATATTCATATGATATATTTCTGATCATTTTATTGGTGAATTCAACTAATCAACATTGCAAATCATTGCAATATACTGTATGTTACATTTAAAATTGACAAAGGTGGCATGAGAGTTGATAAGTTTAATTCATTTTGGTGAATCAGTTTAAACTGTCCCTTTTGGAAAGTTGATTCAATTATTCATTCGATCATTCATTTTTTTTTTCAATCAATATATGCTGATTAAAACACTGATTTTGAGCTAGAATCTTACTTGCATTAAACATTCTGAATCTGCTTGAAAACAATAACTGTTAGGTTAAAATAATGGTTCACATTATCATATCGGGACATCTATTAATTGACGTCAAAAGATTGAAAAATATTGAGATACAATATTTTTAGCTATATATACCAGCCCTAGTCACAACATCTGTACCACAACAATTCAAGTTCAAATTAAAAACATCAAGAGCTAGAATTTAAGGACAAGCGTTCTAGAACTAGAATATAAAACTGGTTTCTGTGTCAACTACAGGTCTGATTTATTGTTATATTTGTGTATCCTGTGAAAATGAAGAAAAAAGTAGATAAAAAGACCTTGAGAAAGGAATGCAGCATCGCTCTGAATTCATCCATGGATGTTCCGCGGGTGGGTTTATCGTAGATGCTGTTGTCATGCCGTAGTGGAGAGTCAGGACCGTTTTCTCCTCTCATGCTCTCTTCAATCCCACACTTCACCAATACGGCTTTCTCCTTCCACACAGCACCGTATATCTGCAATATAGTATATTACATATAAATACATATTATGTGTGCCAGATGTCATTGTATATATGCCTTTTTTCACATTGTGACCAACAATAAATATATATATTTTTTTATACATTATTTATATATCACACTTCCCCCACATATTCTAATTAATGTAATGTAAAAATAAATAATTTAAATAGAAAAATATTTATACCTAGAATTTGTAGTAAATTAAGCTATACAAATACACTGTTGTTCAGTTTGTTGAGTAATAATACTAATAATTACTTTTAAAAAAAAAGATAGCAAAATAATTGTATATTTTGCAGTATTGAGAATCGCGCAGATTTTTGTAAAAGCAAATATAAAGTAACATTTTTAGATGCATTGCCTATTTTGGGGATAAAATTGGTCTGAAAAATTATCATTTAAATATAATTTAAATATGACCTGGACATTTTTTATGCAAATCAATTATCTATTTTAGAAAGTTTACCTGCTGTGTCGGTGACGTTGAAAGACAGCGTTGAAGAGACAGTGTTTTCTCCTCGCAGAGAGACTTACACACTGACCCTGAGATAATACCTCTGCGATAATGATCACACTGAAACACACACACACACACACAGGAAACAGACAGGCATCAACCACAAACATCTTGTCATCTTTTCTCGATTTAAAAGCCTTGTGCCAACAACCGGAGGACAAACTGGCCAGTCAGAGGACAGAGGGCTTCATGACGTCATGATGGACTGGTGGCTTGGGCAGATGATGACCCACAAATGCACAGATCAGCCTAAAATTACTACTACTCATCTGCGTTCTCGCTTTCCCTTATCATTTTCATTTCTGATATCTACCAAAGCGGTTGTCAGTGCACATGTTGCAAAACAAGAGCTGAAAAGGGCTTTTCCTCCCCTCGGCCTCACCAAGTGTCTAAACTACAGCACTGACACACACACACACACACACACACATTATATATATATATATATATATATATAGATAGATAGATAGATAGATAGATAGATAGATGTATATTCTAACGTTATTTTTAAGGTTCTGAAAGCCCAAATGTTTTTTAAAGGGATAGTGCATCAAAAACGTTGCTCAAAGTGAGGTTTTTCAGCAACTAGTACCTTAAAGGTATAGTTCACCCAAAAATGAAAATGTGTCATAATTCACTCACCCTCAAGTCGTTACAAACCTGAATTTCCTTCACACAAAATAAGTAACCAAACAGTTGACAGTAGCCATTGACTTCCAGTTTTCCATTCAATGGAAGTTAATGGGGACCGGCAACTGTTTGGTTGGCCATTTTCTTCAAAATATCTTCTTTTGCGTTTAGCAGAAGACATAAATGCATACAGGTTTGGAACAACTTAAGGCTGAGTAAATTATGTCAAAATGTTTTTCATTTTTTTGGGTGAACTATTCCTTTAAATCTAGGTTTGGAATATAGTGCACAGGTTGTATGGACAACTTTTATGGTACATTTTTGTTTGCCATTTTGAAGCTTGACCACACTAGTTACGATACACTACAGATGTTTGAAAAGCACAATCTAATTGCTCCACTAAAAATGCCACAGGATAGAAAAATACGAGTAGATTATCTTTTTTAAGAAAAAACTATGACTGTGAATGTAAATCATCACAGTAAGAGGAAGTTCTACTTTCCTGAGAGGTTTGTGTTTACATCCTGAACAATAAAATAAGTAACAATAAAAAAGGGGCTTTCATAATGGTATAATTATGATCTGTCAACTCTCTCTTGCTTCCTCCTTTTAATTTTCCAGTTCCTCTCTCATTCTGCAGCTATGTACAAGGACTTCCTGTCAGTGAAATGCTAGAAGGCAAAACAGCTTCAATATTACACCATCTGTGTGTATGGACTGTATGTGAACACACTGAAGTGTTTGTCAATCATCATGAATCATCATCAGACACTCACACTCTGTCTTAACCTGCAATGCAATGAAGTGGCAAATCCTGTCTATTCCATGTTGCTTTCTCCTAAGTGGCGAGGAATGGCGCTCATGGGAAGGGATGTGCAACTCATGCATTATGGAGGATGCTGTGACTTACGATGAGCATGGTACAGACGTGTCCTCTGCAGAGCTCTGAATAAGAGGAATACTGCATATAGATCACCCAGCTGGCCACCAGAATCCCAAACCACGCCACCAACAGGTACTTGACCTTAACTGCAGGTAAACGGGACTGAAGGAGACATAATACACTTAAATGTACACACAACAATATTTCACACAACATATATAAGCTCTCGTTTGTATTGTATTGCATTTTTAATGCAGATCTTATTTTCACTTTCATACATGGAAATATGTATTGGATACATATCAGAATTTTGCAAAGTGGCTTCAGTGTAAAAATCATGCAATTTTTATAGATTCATTTTCATAAATCATATTTGTATTGTGTTAGCTGTATTTTACATGGATTGATTTGAATTGGAATGCAGGATATATATATATATATATACATACAAGCAAAAAATAAGCAAAACGTAGTATTAATTCCAGTGCTGTCAAACGATTAATCACATCCAAAATAAAAGTTTGTTTACATAATATATGTTTGTGTACTGTATATATTTATTATGTATATACAGTGGTGTGAAATTTTTCACACCACTGTATATATATATATATATATATATAAATACACATACATATGACTGGGTGCCGTCAGAATGAGATTAATTATCCACTGATAGTTTTGAAACATCTTACCTTAGCACTTCTTGGCACATACCTTAAAAGTTCATGATGTATGCATGAAATAATTATTATTTTGAGCCCATCAATTTCAATGAATCCACTGATATAGTTCTTAATTTCCAGCCTAAATGGTTAGTTCACAAATTGATCTGATTCGGATCTCAAATTTAGCTCAGTAACTTCAATATCAGCCTGTTCTTTGCATAAAACTATTATATGACTTCAAGAGACTTGCAATATGGAGTACAAGTCATATGGACCACTTTTATAATCCATTTATAATGCTTTTGCATCATTCTTGAAGACTGAAAGCCTCAGTCCCCATCTACTGTAATTGCACGGGGGGAAATACTACTAAAACACTAATTTTTCCTTTTGTGTTCTACAGAGTAAAGAAAGTCATACAAGTTTGCGACAACACGAAGGTGAGTAAATAAATAATGACAGAATTTTCATTTTGTAGTGAACTATCCCTTTAATAATGGTCTGTCGTCTGCTTAACCTGAGGAACTGTGTTTTGTTTAACTTCAGGTCGAATCCCTGCAGTTTTCGTCCTCTTGTAAGAGAGAAACGAAAGATGCATTTGTCATCTGTGACATCTTCAGCGCAGGGTTCAGCAATGAATATGACAGATTTGACCTACACCATCTCAAACGGTCACAGTGTTACAGTGTGCACTTACAGTGAGTGCACTTATGAAAGAGGGCTCTTAGTGCGGATCTACAGAAATACTGTCAGCATGCGGTGTGCATTAAGCACTCAGACCTGCCGTGTGTGTGTGTGTGTGTGTGTGTGTGTGTGATTACCTAAAGCTGGAATTAACGGCAACAATTAAAATGACCGTTCCTCTTTCATATGATTTATGTAGATTGCCTTTTAAAAAATCTGAAAAATGCAATAGAAATAAAAAAGGAAGCTACAGTGATGGTAATGTATATGGATCACACAATGTATATTGTCACACTGGCTCACAAAGACATTTCAGTAATTATAAGGAGTACAGTTATGCATGCATTTTCTTTATGCATTACCTTTAACATAATCACAGTTTCATAAATTTGCTTACATTTTTTTTTTTTGAAAAGCCTATAATACGTTATCTTATGGCAGGTTCCCCCTATATAACCGGGGCATGTTGTCACAAAACTGTTTTTCTGAGCAAAAATTGTGAAATGTTTAATATAGAGTAAAATGTGTGACAACTAGCCCCAGTTTTCCTTATCATGGTGCTGAATGACTTCCATCTTCATGCATCACGATATTATTTATGCAGTATTCATGGTAATACCATGCCCAGGAAACACTTACCATGGTGTCATACTCAAATACATGGTAATACCATGGTACTTTTGTGTTATTTCTAAATCTTTATAAGGAAAAACATAACCAGACATGGTCTTTCTATTGAAAAAGTTACCTGTAGACCCTTAGACAAGGGACAAAAGAGCACCAGGTGCACCAGCTTGCGTAAACTCCTCGGCATCTTCACAGTAACACTGATGATGCACAACACAAATAAAGATTGCTCTCCAAACACGCCTTCACTTTCTCATCTCGTCTCCTCCATTACAGGCGGCCCAGCAGTGTTCTCCAGCGCACACAAGAGCGAAAATACACATTTACTCTTATTTCATCACCATGCGCTTTCATTTCGAGAAGCAATCGGCCGTGCGATGGAGAACCATGCCATGCTGCTGGTGCTCAACTCAAGGACACGCGAGCTCCAGGCATCATCCTCGCGCGGCCAAAGATGCGTTAAAAACCAGCTCTGACATCTGCGCGTTATTTAGACCGACGTTTGATTCTAAGGGACGTATTGTGCCAAAGATCAGTGCGAATCTGGTGGACGAGATGGTGCTGGAACCACTGACGATCAGCTGGAGACGCGGCCTCTCTGCGACTCTACAAAGCGTCTTAAAGGGGAAGAGACCCTGATTTCCGCTACCGACAGAAAACAAACAACACTGTCTCTTTAAATCTCACTGAATAGAAATAAGGGGGAAATAGGCTATCTTCAAATATCATCAAATAAAATATGTGACCCTGGACCACAAAACCAGTCATAAGTTGCACAGGTATGTTTGTAGCAATAGCCAAAAATACATTGTATAGGTCAAAATTATCGATTTTTCTTTTATGCCAAAAATCATTAGGATATTAAGTAAAGATCACGTTCCATAAAGATATTTTGTAAATTTATTACAGTAAATATATCAAAACCAAATTTTTGATTAGTAATATGCATTGCTAAGGACTTCATTTGGACAATTTTAAAGGCGATTTTCTCAATATTTCGATTTTTTTTTTGCACCCTCAGATTCCAGATTTTCAGATAGTTGTATCTCGGCCAAATATTGTTCTATCCTAACAAACCATACATCAATGGAAAGCTTATTTATTCAGCTTTCAGATGATGTATACATCTCGATTTTGAAAAATTGACCCTTATGACTGGTTTTGTGGTCCAGGGTCACATATAACAAAAATGAGACAATTATATTTCATTTCGATTTTTAATTACCTTTAACTTCGCTATATATATATATTTTTAATATAAGAACATCCATTAACTTTGACCACAGACAATGTGGTATAATTAAGACAAAATAGCTTTAAATGTGATTAAATACAATAAAATATCAAATAAAAATAGATGCATACCTTTGATTTTAAATACGTTAGGATAGCCTATAATTAAGATCAAAACTCCATGGGGCTTAATAGGGAAAACAAATATAGAATAAAATCCATTTAAAATGAATAATCAACAATAATGTTTTAGCATATAATAAAACAGAAAAATAGAGAATTACTTTAAATAGAATGGAATAGAAAATAAGAAAAATCTATAAATTCAACCACGTTTTCTTCACATTGGGTAATTTATCAATAATAATGATTAAAAAACAGAAAACATTTGAATATCAGATTACAGTGTGCATATATATATATATATATTTTTTTTTATTATTATTATTAAAAGGTATATTAAAAATAACCCTATAAAATTTGATCACAGACAAAAGGTTATAATTAGGACAAATAAAGAACAAATAGAATTTAAGATTTAAATTTGATTCAACAATGTTATAGAATCCTTTTTGTTATTGAATCCCTTTAAATGTGACTAAATGAGAAAATAATTTTCAATTCAGCCGTGTACACTGAGTATTTGGTGGTTGACGTGTCAGATATTATCAAACAGTAAACATCTAAAACATGAAAACACACACGACAATTCAGTTATTTAAAGATCAAGTTAAACTGTTTGTACATTTTTATAATGCATGTGTAATGCAACATTCGTGTTGTTGTATTATGAGTCTCTCTGGTTGAACCTTTTCTTATGTCAAGTCTTCACATTCCTTCTACAGCCAGGTTTGTGTTTGGACAGGTTTGATCTTGCATGCGGCACTTTGAGAACGAATCATTATGCAGTGCAAAGACAGTGTACAATAGTGTGTACGGTCACTGCAAGTGCAAATATAGGTTAAGGGTGATGGGTGTGTGTGCATGGACAGTGTGTTTACTTCTCATGTGACTTTAATTAAAATAATATTTTAGCACGTAGTATTTTATATTTCACATTTGCTTACTTTCAAAGAATTTTAAGTTGCATATAATACAGTTTTCAAGTAGAAAATTGTGTGCAATAAATTCTTGCAATTCTTGTTAAGGACAACAAAGGGCGATAAAACACTGAAGATGTATTAATTTTTGTTAAAATAGCTAATATATTCAACGATAAAACACCACTTCTTGTTATATTTCTGGATGACCTCCATATGAAAGTTCATACAGTATCTCATCAGTGTGACAACATCTACTCTGGGACAATGTTTAGCTCAAAATTGTCACTGACATGATATAGTTCCTTGAACGGTACTCTCTGACGTCATGGTATGAAGAAACTCTGCTGTGATTAGCTGTTTAAGCTTTTATGACCTCAAAAGAACTCTTTCCATATTAATCCACATTAAGATACTAATTCAGTGTGGTCGCTTTCATGTGACTCATGTGTCTTAGAAGAGGGTTCATATTAGAGTTCATATTGACATAATAATACACACAAAAAAGTAAGCACTAAAAACATATATACATTTCAGATGAATTGTGAATAAACACACACACACACACACAGTCACAGAGCTGTAACTGTGGTCAGGTCACATTTAAACACCTAAGTGACTCTGTGACCGCAGCATGAGGATCTACTGTATCAGATTACACACCCTGATCAGCCATTTAATCTTGTTAACTGCACCTCCTATAATCCTTAATCTGCCTACCGGCTTCTCAACACTTGGCATCATGATTTTTCCTATACAAGCATTAGGAAAACTTCTCTTGCAATATAGCAGTGTTATTTTAGTATAATTTAAATACTGTTTTTTTTTTGTTGCATTTTCTATTTTAATTTTAGTTAAAGTTTTAGTAATTTTATAAATACAAATCATAAATATATAAATAAAATGAAAAATATGTCTTAATATATCAAATTATTTGTATATTTTATTTCCGTTAACATTTTATTTCAAGTAAAAAAAAAAGGTTTTTATTGGATAATAACTGAATATAGCACATTGTGTTAATCTACAAACAGTAAAGTACAGTATGTGTGCTGTGCCTATGGAACAACTTGTTTTTATTAAATGCACACACACACAGTAAGTAAAGTAAGTAAATGAATGAATGAAAGGATGGATGGATGGATGGAAACTGAACTGGTAATTTTCTGCCAGGACATTGTCCAGTAATTTTATGGACATTTCCGTTAACTCTAAAACACAATGAATGCAAGGAAGTGCAAAATTCAAAGTACAGCTAAAACACCTGCAAAAAAAAAATCAATGCAGTACATTGTGCTGTATTTTTACTGATGATGATTTTTTTTTTACAGTGAAGAAATAAGAATTATTAATGCACTGCAATTTTGTTTTTCAAATTTATTAACTTATAATCCTTTTTTATTTAAACTGCATGTAAAATACCCACACAGATTGGACATAAAATATGCACCGTTTGCACAGACACATCAGTCTTTTCCAATAGGTATTTCCATAATCAAATCAGATGTAAATACTTTTGTTCGGTGGGATCAGTGCTCATGACTTGTCCCTGTAACTGGATGGTCGTTAATTAACAGCAGTGAAAATTTTCATAAGAAACTGCACACTGCACTGTTCCAGAACTTTTTCAGGCATTTCTTACACACACCAAATGTTGGCACACATGTCTTTGTTCTAATAAAGTCGTTTCAGGGAACACTGTCTGCACCAAACACACATGACAGGGAAACACACACATGGGAGGGATTCAAACTTACAGCAGCATCTTGTGTGCATTAAATAGAGCGTGGGGAGTCCGATTCATTTGAACGAATCGGTTCGTTCGGATGGTTCGTTTCAGTGAACTAAAAATGCTTCACTTGTTCAACCAAATCATCACTCAGGTTATTGTAGTAGATAAGATTGTTTAAAAAAATCAAAGGTTTTTTCCAGTAACAATGTGGCATGTAGTTTTAATTCTCCTTGTTGACACAACAACAACTTAATCATTTGACCCCCAAAAAAGCATTATTATTATTATTATTATTTAATTGTCATATTTTTAAACATATATTGTAACTCACAAGCGTTTTATGCAAAATATGAAATAATATGGCATATTATTATTTATTTGTATTGTGTTTATTATTTTTAATGTATTTTATTTATTGTTTTGCATGCTGCCAAAGCATAAATATACATGCAAACAGTGACAGAAAAATACATATATATATATATATATATATATTAACAATAAATAATAACATAATAGCCTAATGAACAAGATTTTCGCCAACATTTTCAGACTATTTTCGTGGTCTGAACATATTTTTATTAGTGGTATATTATTGTTAGGCTTATTATTAGTATTTTACATTTTTTGCATATACTATTGATAAAGCACACACAAACAGTGATAGGAAAAAATAAAGAACCAGTAATGTTACGAAAAAAAAACAACTGCAATATACAGAATTACAAATGTATTTATTTAATGGTTGATAATACAACGTTTAGCCGTTTAATCTAAGTAACTATAATTGTGGTAGTTTGGTGGAAATGTCTAGTTGTAAGCGAGTCATTCACCAACGCTCAGACTGAATCTCAAAGAACCGGTTCAAAAGAACGATTCGCGAATCGAACAGCGCCAGTTACACACGCGGCGGACGGCCAAAGGTTCCACACGCATCGCTCTCAGTTGATAACCCGCGCCTGGCTCTCCATAAACCTCCGGTTCTTGTTGACATCCACCTCATTCGCCCGGTATTACGTAAACGACAAACAGGGAGAACGGTAAAGTTGCTCAAGGGTGCGACTTGGACGCCGGCCAAAGGTTCCACACGCATCGCTCTCAGTTGATAACCCGCGCCTGGCTCTCCATAAACCTCCGGTTCTTGTTGATATCCACCTCATTCGCCCGGTATTACGTAAACGACAAACAGGGAGAACGGTAAAGTTGCTCAAGGGTGCGACTTGGACGTGGTGTCTGATGTAGACTCGGTTCGGAGTTGATTCCCCTCCACTCCACACCGCTGGCCTTCTATCATTTCTCGACAGCCGGGAAAGAGGCGCTGGTCGCGGGCATGGATGCCGTGTGGATGCTGCCTGTGCTGCTGGTGCTCCCGCTCCTGTTATGGACCAGCAGCACGTTCGTTTTCTATTTCAAAAAGTGCTTCTATGTGGCGTACATGATGCTGCTGGCCGTTATCTCCATACCGATTTGCATTCTGAAAAGCGGCGGCAGGGACATCGAGAACATGAGGTGAGTTGTCAACAACGCAAGTCACATAATGTTACGTTTCTGCACTCGTGCATTGCTTTAGGACAATGGGCTGTCATTTTATGTGGTTATAGAGTGTTACAGTAACATATGTTTCATAGCCATATCACAACATACATTCAATTGACTGAAACAGGTTGCTATATACATACAGTCATACCTTTTATCATTTATGTTTAAACCCTGTAAAATGCTCTTTTATGCACTCACATATGCGTTTAATGACTGAAAGAAAGGATGCATTTGTAACGGAATGCACTGCATCTGTTTAACGTAAGTTACCCCGGACAGATGTTCGGATCACGGTTGTGAATCTTTAGCCAGCTCGCTAAGTAACGTTACAGTTCACGCGAGAACACATGCGGGCCTCTGTATAGTATATTTAATGCGATATCAGGGTGATGCATGAATAAATTAAGCTCCGTGTGGTTTAACAGCATAAGCAGATGTAAATATGTGGTTAGCGCGCGTGCATTTAGCCTCTCGTGGGTGTTTAAGCTGCGTGCTAGCAGCTTTAGCGTCTTGTGCAAGCCAGAGATGGCGACCAATGCGTGTGTTTGTTTTCTGAGGATGTGCTGGGAAGGCTAGTTAAACGGATGTGGGTTGCTAGTTACGCATGCTCTAGTTTGTATTAATGAGGTCGTGATGGATTGGTCTCATGGCACCGCTGGTGCAGAGTTCATGCTGGTCGATGCTGCCAGATTGAAACTACACTACAGTCTCACGCGTTCCACACATTGGACAGTTGATCGACGCAATTGCGGAATTCAGGCCATAAGTTTAGAATCAATGTTCGCGCCGAAAATCATTCTGAAACCTTCCGTAACACTAGAATGTCGCTATCATGGTAACGGACGTTCTAGATCAGTGGAACGCTGTGACGAGATTTTCTGTTTCAGTGGGCGGAGCATACATGAATATTCATGAGTTTCCCGGACATGCGCGTCGAACCAGGTGGAACTGAGAATTTCAGTTCACGCTCCTTGTATCTCAGCAGGTTTAATGGGAGATATATATATATATATATATTTAAAAAGGTAAATATATTTACAGTGTTGCACAAACTACATTTGTTTATCATTTCGTAACAGTTTATTATGTTTTTATTAGTTTACAGTGCACGTTTTGTGCACTCGTCCCTGACTGAATGATTGTAGGCATTCTTTGTGTAATGTTAGGATAAAGCACAGTAAACTTCAGCTAGCTGTAGCCTATACATTGCTTTCAGTTCTTTGTGCTCTTCATTTGTAACTTGCGATCTGGTTGTAAACTATGATACAATCATACACTGCTGCAAAAACATGTTGCTGACATTTTCTTTTTCATGTTTCCAATGTAAAATAGTAAATTTTTTACAAACAAATGTAAATTTACCAATTAAGATTATCACAAGGTTTATGGT